TTGAGGAAAAAAAAAGGGGGAGGGGGGGAGACCAAAGTTGTTGAGAAAAAAAAAAAGGAGCCCGAGAGTTAAGCAAAAAACAAACAAAAACAAAAAATAAAACAGCATTAAAACAGTATGGCCCCTTTAAGAAAAGTCTTTAGGATTTTTGCTGGCAGCCATCTTGTTTTCTTGACCGGAGCCAGAAGGCAGCTTCCCTGTAGAACCAGGTAAGCAGGGTGGGGATCCAGTTGGAAGGGTGTAAGGGAGGCAGGGGCTGGGCCCAGTTGTAAGCAAAAAACAAACAAAAACAAAAAATAAAACAGCATTAAAACAGTATGGCCCCTTTAAGAAAAGTCTTTAGGATTTTTGCTGGCAGCCATCTTGTTTTCTTGACCGGAGCCAGAAGGCAGCTTCCCTGTAGAACCAGGTAAGCAGGGTGGGGATCCAGTTGGAAGGGTGTAAGGGAGGCAGGGGCTGGGCCCAGTTGCTGTAGGGTTGCTAGGTGTCCAGTATTTTCTGAATTTTTTTACCAGACAGGAGGTGAAAATATTGGACTGTCTGGGTCAATACCGGACACCTGGCAACCCTAGACAGGTGTTAAGAAAATCACCTACCTCACTGGAATAATGAAACATAAGCATCCCCCTTCACCACATGGGGAAAATTAATGGTAACATACCCCTGCCTCCACTCTCATTTGTGTGAGAAGCCAGAACTTGGTGCTAAAAGCATACACCTCTACTGCTTAAGCTAAAAGAGCAGCTCTTCTAGCACTAGATAGAGGCTGTAGTAAGTTCATGTTCTCTGTGTAGCAGGCACTAGCAGGGGCCAGTATCCCACTCTGTGCTAATGTAGGTTATACTGAGTGACTTCCTAGGCCAAAGAGGCAACCTATTTCAGGATTAGAAGCAGGGTTTCATGTAAGCTATGCACTTGTGCAGGCGATAAGAGGAGGTTCAAATGCTGACCACCTGATGAGCACACTGCCCACAGCTAGGTTTGTGTTTCTACTGGTGCTGCACATTTGAACATGCCTCAGTGCACATAAAATGTATTCCGCACATGGATGGAAAAGAGAAGAGCTTGGGTTGTGGTCTCTTTCTCTTTAATGATGGGTCATTCTCAGCTGCATCTCTCTAAAGTTTCTTTTACATGAAGCGTTTTGGGGTTGGGTCAGTGACTCAAATTAAATAACTTGAATATACTGAGAGGAGCTTTAAAATCCATGTCAGGAAACACCACCTACGAATACCGTTTGGCTCTTTCAATTGCAGCATTTCAACTGAGAAATGTACAGGAGGTGGGAGTGCCCAAAATAACTAAATTTCTGTGAAGTGGGTGGTGGTGGTGTTATATGACAGGTTTCCTGTAGCTAAATTACAGGGCTTGCTGGAAACGTGGGATAAAAATAACCACGACAGAAAGGACTTAATATTTGCAATTGATTGATGACGAGAAAAACAGTGTGGATTCTGTTATGACTTATGTTATGCAGGAGGTCAGACCCAGCAATCATTGGGATCCCTTCCTGATTCAAAAGCCCATGAAGTCAAGACGGGACCAAACCAAAAGCCAAATTCCAAACATCTCCTGACGCAGGGTCGGGGGTGGGGGGCACCTTGAACTCTGGACCTAAGTTTTATAGCTGACCTACCTCTAACCATAGCTTTGGACAGAAGCCTGAGAAGTTCCCGACACAATCAGACAAGCAGCACAAGCCAATTCCCACTGAAAATCAACAGACACACTCCTGTTGGACTTACTGGGACCTGCCCCTGCAGACCACTCACTAGGCAACATATTTTCAATCAGAAATTTACAGAATCGCTTGAACAGCACTGTTTGATATGTTCCCTGTGGGACTTCAAGTCCAGCTGTGAATGACTGAGTCATGCGGCAGGGGGAGGGGGTTCCCAAGAAGAGAGGGAAGATCAAACTAGCTTGCAAGAGCTTGGAAATCTTGCTACAGAGAAGGGTAGGTTGCCAGAAGACGTTCTTCTGAATGGAAAAGTGGAAGCCATAAGAGGACCAAGAATGTGAGTGCTTCTGAGGCAGGTGCCGCAGGCACCACCGCCCACCAGGATGGCACTGGTGAGATCTCTTGATGAATGAGCCTTTTCCATACACCTGTTTATAAATTACATGAAAAAGCTAGAGCTTTTATGTACTTTGTGGCCCTTTTGATGGATTACTGTGGGGGAGGGCTGGCTACAGCATGTCCCTGAGATGGCATCTACACTGAAGCGCTACACCAGCAAAACTCAGTGTTGCAGCTATGCCACTGTAGCAATTTAAATGTAGATGCAACCTAAGGGTAGCCAAAGCCACAAGGATGAGTGTGATACAACAATTCACTGATCAACTCCTTTATATATAATTTGCCTTGGGTGGGGAGGGGGTATCAAAACCATTTAAGGTATTTGTATTTATTTCCTACCTTTCCCACTGTTCTTATTTAAAACATGTGTCTAATCTATGAAATTGTCTTTGCAGGGTAGTCTGAAAGCCAGCCCTCTTACCGTAAGAGTCCTGTTCAGCAG